TGATCTGTGATATACCCATTTTAGCATCGTCAATGGTAATGCGATAGACAAGATAGTCGTTATAGAATATCGACTCGGGAGTATACAGTCAACACTTGTAGTGCGTAGAGGGCAATCAAAAGTGGGCCCGCGGCCCTCCCGCCGATGATGTCAAATTTGCCAGCAGCAATTGAGTTCAACCTCGAACCAGTCTTTTGACTTGAGGACATAAGACTGGGGTCTATCTTGCTTGGGAGCCGGTCAATTCAAGAACTCGACCGGGTAGACCTGCATCGCAGAATTCGGGGAGCAAGCTACGTACGGCCTATGCCTATGCCTATACTTGCGCTTGCGCACTAAGCTTACACGTGCATTTCAACCTCACTCACTTACCCACGACTCGACTCGACTCGACTCGAGACTTTCGCACAAAGAAAACGAGTAAACACTTTTCAACAACAGCAACAACTCAACACCTCACCCCGCACCCCGCATGAGCAACCGCTACCTCCGACGAAATCCTGTCCCCACGACATTTCCATCAAGATCTCGCTCCGTGAACCACAGCGTTAGCCCTCCCCTCCACGTCGAGTCTCGCAACACAGCCCCCCGAGTCAGCCGCTTTCCACCCCTTCAGCAGCAGTACACCACCAAGCATTACCCATCCACAGCTACAACTAAGGCTAAAGCTCCAGCTCCCACCCTCTCAACCCGAATCCGAATCCCACAACCCAAAACAAATCCCGGCGTCATGTCCACCCATGAAACCCCACCCACCGCCCCCCAACCCCCGCAAAAAGACAACCGCGACCCTCACCCCAACCGCAAAGACAAAAAAGGCGGCCGCGGAGGAGGAGGAGGAGGCAAGTCACGCCACGAGGACCCCAAAACCAGCCGGCAGGTGACCGTCTCCAAAGCGATGTCGTTTATCCTGCGGCATGCGGCCGAGAAGGAAGGGTTGGCGATGGATGCGCAGGGCTATGCGAGCGTGGGGGATTTAGTATGGTTCCCCCCCCCCCCCCCCAACTTCTATGGATTGTGCTTTTTATTGTTCTGGGGCGTCGTCGCTGGGATTTTATTTACTTGAGAAAAGATCATGCGGAGCTACCACTGACTGACTGACTGAATGGTGGGACGACAGCTCGCCTGGCGAAAGCTCAAATCCCTGAAGGTCACCTTCCCCGAGATCGTGGACGCGGTCGCCAGCTCGGATAAGAAGCGGTTTGGGTTGTTGTATCTCCCGCCGACATCTCCATCTACGGCTACGGGGGAGTTGACGGTGGAGTCTACAGCCGCGACTGAAAAAGCAGGGGATACGACCAACACCAACACGGCCGACGAAACCGAAACCGCGACCGCGACCGCCCTCGCCGCCGCCGCCACCACCGACCAAGACCCCACGCACTACCTCATCCGCGCGACGCAGGGCCACAGTATCAAGACCGTCGAGGCCGCGGGCCTCCTGGAGCGGCTGAGTCTGACGACCGGCGCCGACCTCCCGTCGACGGTCGTCCACGGCACGTTCCACGGGGCGTGGCCGTTGATTCTGGAATCCGGGGGCCTGCGGTGCATGGGCCGGAATCAGGTGCATTTCGCGACGGGCCCGGCGCGGGAGGTGGTTTTGGCGCGGTTGCCGCAGCAGGAGGCAGAAAAGGAAGAAGGGGCCGTCGGCGGGCAGGGGCAGGTGATCTCGGGGATGCGGCGCGACGCCCAGGTGTTGATCTATATCGATCTGGTGAAGGCGCTGGCGCGGGGGTGTCCGTTCTGGCGCAGTGAGAACGGGGTCATCCTGAGTGAGGGCATCGAGGGCCGCGTGCCGTTGGAGGTGGTCGAGGCCGTGGTCGAGCGGCGGCTGGGCACGATCTGGGAGCGCGGGGCGGTCGTGCAGCCGTGGCCGGCGGAATGGAATCGGCGCCGGAATCCTAAGGGGAAGGGGCAGCAGGCCAAGGGCCAGGCAGGGGGAAAGGCAGAGGGAAAGGCAGAGGGGTCCGACGGAAGGTGATTTTTTTTTGGGATAGAGAATTGAATTGGATATTTCCGTTGTGTATGTACGGTACCACTTAACTACTACACTTACAGTAGACATCGGAAGGCAACTGCGGGGAAATCGGAAGGGACAATCCGAAGTCAAAGAGGCGGGGTTCCTTCCGCTTCCGACGCCAATCACTCTCCGTCGCCAACAAATCCGGGGCCGCCGAAAAGGCAAGCTGACCATCAGCAGATCATTTGTATATAATCGGAGCTGGCTCTCAACCCACCCTCCCACTACCTTCTTTTGCACTATCCCACTCTATACTTCATACTTCATACGCAGAAAGAAAACCAAAATGTCCGCCCCCCACCGCTTCGACCCCAACTTCACCGACAATGTCATCAACGCGATGGGTCCCAAAACGACCCCGCGGTTCCGCCAACTCATGACGGGCCTCATCCGCCACGTCCACGACTTCGCCCGCGAGAACGAGGTGACCGTCGACGAGTGGATGGCGGCCGTCAAATTCATGAACTGGGCCGGACAGATGAGCGACGACAAGCGGAACGAGGGACAGTTAGTGACCGACGTGATTGGATTGGAGTCGTACGTTTTCCTGCCTTCTTCCCCAGAACTCCCCTATCTCCCACCCCCTAAAACACCACCACCACCACTAACAACAAGAGCCAACAGCCTCGTCGACGAAATCACTTACACCCTCGCCGCCGAAGCGCACGACGCCCCCACCGCCACCGCCATCCTGGGCCCCTTCTTCCGGGCCGACACCCCCTTCCGCCGCAACGGGGAGTCGATCGTGCGCACGCCCGCCCCCGGCGGCGAGATGGCCTACATGCACGGCCGCGTGGTCGACCACGCCACGAAGCGGCCGCTCGTCGACGCCACCGTCGAGGTCTGGCAGGCCAGCACCAACGGGCTGTACGAGCAGCAGGACCCCGCCCAGGAGGAGTTCAACCTCCGCGGGAAGTTCCGCACCGACGCCGACGGCCGCTATGCGTTTTATTGTCTGCGGCCCACGCCGTATCCGGTTCCGGATGATGGTGAGTCATCTCTTTTCTTGTCTGGGTCGGGGGGGGGTTATGGTTTGAGTGTGTGTGTGTGTGTGTGTGTGTGTGCTAACGATGGGGGCAACAGGTCCCGCCGGGAAGTTGTTGGAGTTGATGGATCGGCATCCGTTCCGGCCGGCGCATATTCATATCATTGTATGTCTGAGCGACCCTATTCCGGGTTAAATTGGATTGTGGTGGTGGAGGTCGAAGGGTCCACGCAGAATGAGAACGACAAGCTAACCACGACGACAGGCCACCTACGAAGGATACAAACCCCTCACCACGCAGATCTTCGATCGCAAGGACCCCTACCTCACCAACGACTCGGTCTTCGCCGTCAAGGACTCCCTGATCGTGGACTTTGTCGAGCGCAAGGGCGACCCTCAAGCTGGCCTTGAGTTGCAGTATGATGTCAAGTTGGCGCCGGCGCCGGCGTCGAGCTAGACGGTGTCTATGCTTCGGGAAAATTCTAGGAAGATGTGTGGGTTTGTGGATGTACTATGCTGGCAGCGGAGGGGTTTCCTGTATATATTGATTGATGTGATACCGAACTCTGTTATTCATTTCTATGATTCATCATGTGACTTTTTCAAGACGACTCTGGGCTCCAGGGTAAAGACAATTCTCATTTCAAGATTGCACTCTTTCATTGTGGAATCGCCCTTCGATATTCTAAACAAGCCCACCAACATGATCTACAAAGCAGCGGCGAACTCCCGAATCAGCCCGCCCACCTCCTCCGGCGCCTCGACGCAATGCCAATGCCCGATCTGCGGCAGCACCTCCATCTTCTTGTGCCCGCTCGACACCCGATCGAAGATATGCTGACAACCCTCCAGCGATGCCGACTTATCCTCCGCGCCCGCGATTAGCAGGAACGGGGCCGAGATGGCCGCGTAGTCGATGGCCGGGGCCGTGGCGATGGCCCGGCAGAGCGCCGCGTAGCCCTGGGGGTTCTGGCCGAGGATCAACTCGCGGATCAGGGCTTGGGCGAGCGGCGAGCAGCGGGGGCCGGTGGCGCCGCTGGGGATGGTGTTGGCCATGGGCTCCATGCCCGCTAGTGTCCGGTCAGCATTCGCATTAGCCCCTCAACATTTGTGGGTTTGAGACGTGTGTGTGTGTGTGTGTGAGGAAACGTACAGTTGGCGACCGTGGCGCTGCGCTGGGTCATGACCGAGGCCAATTGGTCGGAGGGGTGGGTTGGTCCAATGGCCACCACGGCCTTCACGCGGTCCGCGTACTGCGCGCCCAGCAGCGTCACCACCAGCCCGCCCATCGAGTGGCCCACGACCACGGCGTGGGCCACCTGCAGCGCGTCCAGCACGCCGACCACGTCTGCGGCGATGGAGGCGATGGACACCGGCTGGCCGGTGTAGGGCGAGCGGGCGGAGCCATAGGTGTCCAGTGTGATGCACCGGTGCTGCTCCAGGTGCGGGAGGATGGGGAAGTAGTAGTTCTGCGAGGAGCCGAGGCCGTGGATGAAGATGAGCGTTGAGCCGTGGGCGGGGGCGCCGGCCGGGTGGGTGTCGGCGTAGTAGATCTCGTGGTGGTTGACGGTGACGGTCGGCATGATGTCTTGGTCCTTCCTTTGGGCTCCGCGCGGTTGTGTTTGAGGAGTGTGTTGATTTCTAGCAGACGGAAAGGAAAGGGAGAACGAGAGAAATGCGTGATCGGAAAGGTTGACGAGCAGAACGCTCAACGAAGCTGGAGCGGGGTCGACGTCATGGCGTGGGCGGGGAATTTCGCGCGCGCTCTTCTCCTACAGATGTGCCACGCTCCCGATCTGTGGCATTGCGTTAGTACTGTCCTTTCTGCGGCAGTTCTTTTTCTCCCGCTGTAGCCGTAGATCCAGTGTATCGCCCCAACCATTCCATGTGTCTCCGAGTAATCCGTACTGTTTACCAGGCAAAAGAATCCGTCGGATGATTTGGAGATGAGGATGGCGGGCGGGGGACGCCAGCCGCTCAGCTTATCACCGCCCGACCCGACGAGGGGCTCCCGCCCAGGGCCGCCATCCGACGTGCGCGGATCGCCGTCGGTTCGGAAGCCGAGATGATTGCATTGCATTAGTCCGTCAGTCAGTTATACTTCCTCACACAGCGTCCAATGCAACCAAGGCCTGTTCGAACTCCTCGTCGGTGTCGAACTCATGGCCCAATTGCTCCAACAGAATGGCTGTGTCGTCCTGAAATGAATCGCCCGCCGACGAGGCAGGTATCGCGCCTTGCACCGTCGGAGGCTCGGCCGGGGGTGTGTCCACAGCGTCCGCGCGTTTAGTGTCTATCGCAACGACGTCTATCGCATTCGTGTCTAACGCATCCGTGTTCCGCGCAATCGCGTCTATCGCATCGGCGCATGCACCCTTGGTGTCTATCGCATTCGTGTCCGACGCATCGGCCGCAACGACCTCACTCTGCTGGATGATCTCCTCGTCATCAAAGATGGAGCAATCCGAGAACTCATCCACCTCCGCCAGGTCCTCCTCCCAGCCGAACTCATCATCAGTATCGGTAGTATGATCCGCCGCAGCACCAGCAGCAGCGCGCGCAGCATCCTCACGCTTCTCGACCTGCACACCAGATCCACAACCCTCCTCCTCCTCCTCCTCCTCCCCCAATTCACCATGAGCCTCAACCTCCTCCGCACCCGAAACAGACCCACTCTCCCACCCCTCAAGATCAACCTCCTCAAACTCCGTACACTCAGTATCCTCCTTCAAACCATCACCACCCTCACCACCCTCACCACCCACACCCACACCCACACCATCCAAAGAATCCCCTAGCGCCAGCACAGCCGCCGGCTTCCGTATAAACCTTAACAACGAAGGCTGACTCGAAGGCACGACCGGCGCGTTTGGGTCCGGCAGGCCCATCGACCCGAGCCGCCGGCGCTCCTGGCGGTCGCGCGCCTCCTTCTCGGCCTTCTTCCTCTTGTTGGCGACGCGCTGGCGGTCGCGGTCGCGCAGCTGCTGCGCCCGGCGCTCGCGCGCCTGCTCGCGCTCGATGCGCGCGATCTGCGACGCCGTGAACTGGAACCGCTTGTTGCTGCGCTGGTAGCGGCGGCGTACCGTGCGGGATTTCTCGAGGATGATGCGCTTTTGAGGCGCGGGGGACGGGGGCATGGTAGCTGTCTGTTTCCGGTGGGGTGGGGAAGAAGTGTGGTGGTGGTGGTGGGGGGAAATGAAGGAGCGGGCTGGCTGGCGGCCGGCGGAGTTTAGACGGAGGTAGTAGGATCGTTGGTTGCGTTACTCCTGGTTCTTGGGCAGGGGTCGGTGGGGATAGACATTTGATGTTGGAGCTTTGGGGATATGGGGGTGGTTTGGTAGATGAGAGAACGACTGAGGAAGTTGATGTGTTGAGAATCACACCAAAAAAATCAAAGGTAAACAAAGATGAGTGATGCCACCCCCCGGGTTAGTTAATTGTTTGCAAGGAAACTATGGAGCGGGAAGGCGAGGCGGAAGGCAAGCAAGCCGTTGCGGGGATACGTTGTACCGAAGCGGGGAACATTGTTTGATCCGGATAACTACACTGTGGGTGCTGCCATCCACAACAATTCAAATGACCACATCGACGGTTCAGTCCAGTGATTCTAAGCAGTTTGGATATGTATCTACTGTCTGCAGATCTATGTGCGTCGAACTCAATCCCCAGCAGAACAGCTTATGCTGCTTGCCTCTTCTACAGCTTCGAATCCCGAGCAGGGTCCCAGCACACAGGAGCATGTTCGTCCGTCTGCAGACGACGCATATCGTCCTGAGACAACTCGAAATCAAAGACCTGCGTATTCTCTCGGATCCGGAACTCGGTCACCGACTTGGGCAACGGGACATAACCCTACAAGATCATGCATCAGCCATCATTCAGATCCCTCTCTGTGAAGGAAAACTTCGCTCCAACAAACCTTTTGCAAACTCCAACGAACCAAAATCTGCGCCGGAGTCTTCTTGTACTGCCTAGCCAAGCTCTGCAGCATCGGCTCGTTCATCCGCTTCGCCTGCACCAGCGGCGAATAAGCTTCGACGACGATGCCCCGCTTCTTAAGCCACGCGACGATGTCCTCCCGGGCACACCAGGGGTGGATCTCGTACTGGCCGACGGAGATCTGGCCCCCGACGCCGCTGGTCTGGATGTAGTGCTCCAGCTCCTCCAGGTGGCGGATTCCGTAGTTGGAGACGCCGATGGAGCGGATCTTGCCGGTCTTCTGCGCTTCCACGAGGGCGCGCCACGCGCCGAGTCGACCCTCTTTACCTCCGTAGGGCGCGTGCAGCAGCATACTGTTTGTGGCGGGGTAAGTTCCCTGATAGTAATTCCGCTAAGCTTGGGGAACGAATTAGAACGTACAGGTCGATGTAGCCCAGGCATGCTGCTGCGGACAGACTGGCCTTGATGGCTTCCTTGGCCTTTTCGTAAGACATATGGGTATCGGGGATCTTGCTCGTGTAGAAGATTTCAGAGCGGTCGATCCCCGATTTGTGGATGGCTGCCGCGCACTCCGCTTCGTTTTGGTATAGTTGCGCACAGTCGACCTGTAGCAGACGTTGGACAGATGTGATGTTAACTCCATTGTGCTGCAATGGTAACCGGGAGAATGGATAGATGACCATACATGACGGTAGCCAGCCTCCAGGGCCTTGAGGATCACTTTCTCGGTGACGTCGGGAGGGCTACGATGCGGCGAAGCAATTGTCAGCCAGAACCACCGAATGCACCAGTTGAAAGCCAATTGCTCAATCCTAAGACATACGTCTGATATGACTGAAACGCCGCGATTTCTGTTAGTTGCTGCTTGAGATGGAGATTTCGTGGATTGAGCATCACTCACCCCGAACCCTATAACCGGGATCTCGTATCCCGAGACCATCTTCCTGGTCGACGCGAGGGCAAGTGGAGCCATGATGTCTGGGATTGAGAGTGTACACTGTCCCTCTGATCAAGCGGGATGCGAGTGAGGGGGGGGGGGGGCACTGAGGTAGGCGATTCTGGACGGAACAAGAGGGAACGTCGAAGTTGCGGACAAAACATTCAGAAACTAATTTCCAAGTTCCAAGGTGCCCGCTCCGCATGCCCACGAGGGATGCGCCATCGCCGTGGGCCGAGAGATCAATTGTGGGTCCGTTGACTTTATCAATCAGTTGAGGATTCCGTCCGTCCCTGGGCTTGCAGACAGCGGTCAAGCCGAGTTTCGGACATCCGACCGCCGGTGCCTCGCTTTTTCGTGGGTTTGCATCGAGGGTGCGAGCGAACCAAGCCTGTGTTTATTCGATGCCGGACATGCTTTCATAATCCGTTCATAGCATGACCTCAGTCTCTCTGAAGTTTCAAACTAAGAGTTTTGCCTTTTCCGTTCTTGTTCGCTGAGTATGATTGAGGTTTAAGTATGTCTGTGTCTGCGTAACGTTCTAACGATAGCGACACGATGAACAGGCCATCCAAAGTAAGCTTAGATACGGCGCCGAGACCGAATATACAAATGCTGAAGCGATTGAGTCTTATCATCAAAGTGTAGAGTAGCAGGGTCGAGCTGGGATCTCCCATCCATTCGCAGACGGCTGTTGATTCTCCTGAACGAAAGACCCACGGAATTGGGTACTCCGGGAATCTCTTTCTTTCAACGAAGCTCGGGGCTTGACGGGCTATTGAGAAGACAGAGAGAGAATGCGATAGAAGTTAAATCATGGATATGTACCTGGGAGTGATGCACCGAGTATTTTCTCCCGAGACACCGGCGGTTATTGATAAGGTCGATTGCAGAGGTGGGCTTCAATCTTTCCCTACCTATAGGTCTCCAAATAAGATACCATACTCCTGGACGAGCCAATATTATAGAGATCAGGACAGTACGGTCAACGACAAAAATATCTTGTCTGCTCCTAATGAACCATAGCCTTCTCGCCTGATGGTCCTCTGGCTCCGTAAACCGATAATTGCTGGAATATATGTTTCCGGCAATGAGCCAAACAAAACCCTCTTGACACATATGAGAGCCTATTATCGAGCAGCTATAGCTTCGATTTGAACAGAAACCATGCTGAGATATAACATACCAGAAGAAGACCCACGAATGAGGCACAGACACAAGCTAACAACCAAACCATGATCTACGAAGAGCTCGCTTCGTTATCTCTTATCGATAAGTATCGGCCACAAGCTGCACTTTTCCTCTTCAGGAAGTGTCCCGCACTTCTGCCTTAGGCCGCTTGCCCTTCGTCATTTCTCCAGAACGCAATAGACAGAACAGCAGCAGCGCCGAGTTTGCAGAGCGTGATACCTACAAACGAGCGAGCGATTTGCTTTCGTGCGAATCTGATACCCATATCCTTTCTCTTGTATACACATATATACCGTCAAACTTGAGACTAGATCATCATGCGTCTTGTCAAGAATAAAATCGAGCTCAATGGCTCCGGGACGGTGACGCTGTGCCCCGAAGAACCAGAGGATATGGTACGCAACGCGAGACCATCAACGTTGAGTCCCCATGCTTACCCCCCTTCCCCCGAATACAGTGGCATGCATACAATCTCATCCGCCCGGGCGACCTACTCCGCGCCAGCGCCATCCGCCGTGTGACCACCACCCAAGAGACCGGCTCGACAAGCTCGGCGCGAGTGCACCTGAACCTCGAGATCCGGGTGAAAAGCCTCGACTTCGACCCGCAGAGCTCGCAGCTGCACGTCAGCGGGCAGATCGTGAACGAGACGGCACATACCAAGGTCGGACAGCACCACACGCTCGACCTCGAACTGAACCGCAATTTCACGCTCGAGAAGGAGATTGGCTCCGACGGGGAGGGGGTGGGATGGGACAGCATCGCCGTGCAAATGCTCAAGGATGCGGTGGACGAGGGTGGGAATCGACGGGCCGAGGCCGTGGCCGTGGTGATGCAGGAGGGATTGGCTCATATCTGCTTCATCGGGCAGTTTCAGACGATCCTCAAACAGAAGGTCGAGATGTCTGTGCCTCGCAAACGGCACGGCGGCGGGGATCATGACAAGGTAATGTTTTCTTTCCCTTGCTACTTTGTGTTCCCCAAAAACCGTCTTGTCCCCTTTGCCCCTGCTCTCCCCCGCTCATAACGGTCTATCCCTGCTAACAGTCCCGCCTTATTCCTGGCAATGGGAATTCCAGGGCATGAACAAATTCTTCCAAGTCACCCTCGATACCCTCGTCCGGCAGATGGAATTCAACACCAGCGCCACGGCGCTCTCCACCAGCAACGAGACCGTGCGACCGGTCCTCCTCGCGTCGCCCGGCTTCGTCGCGGCCGGCTTCCAGAAATACATCCAATCGGTCGCCAGCACCAGCATGCCCGCGCTCAAACGTCTCCTGCCGAGCATCGTGGTCGTGCACTCGGCCTCGGGCTACCTCCACTCCCTGGCGGAGGTGCTGCAGTCGCCCGCGGTGAAGACAATCCTGGCGGACACCAAGTACGCGCGCGAGACGAAGCTCATGGACGACTTCCTGGACCAGCTGCGCAAGGAGACCAACAAGGCGACCTACGGCCCGCGCGAGGTCGAGTCGGCCGTCGACCAGGGGGCCGTGGGCCGCGGCGGCGGCGTGCTGATCATCTCCAACCGGCTGTTCCGGTCGCAGGACGTGGCGGAGCGCAAACGCTGGGTCTCGCTGGTGGACCGCGTGCGGGATGTCGAGGGTGGCGAGGTGCGCGTGTTGAGCTCGGATCATGAGAGCGGCCGGCGGTTGGATGGGTTGGGCGGCGTTGCGGCCTTGTTGACGTTCCCGATTGTCGATGATGCCGGCGAGGACGAGGATGAGGACGATAGCCAATGATAGACATTATTAGATGCCTCTGGTCTGCTCCAGATCCATGCCGCCGATCCGTACTTGTACACCCCGGGATGTCCCTCCATCTAGCCCTCACATCTGTATCATACACCCCCCTTTCCCTCCGACTCTTAAAGAAATGAACCCCCAAAAAAAAGCCAGCAACCTCATGCCTCTTGTCAAAAGAACAATAGCACAGCCGACATATACATCTTCCATCCAAAGATCAAATCGCCCACTCAAAAACAAAAGCGCGATCGCTCTCCCCTTCCAAATCTTCAGGCACAAAGCACAACAGGGGAAAAAGAACATCAGCCCTGGAGCCCCGGGATCTAGATTGGCTATCGGCTATACACAGAGAAAGTTAGTAGCACCTCACACAACATACCGTAGCCAGCCGATACGTCATCTAGGGCAGGGAACACAACACCGTCTGAGCTCAAGTACAGTTACAGTCACAGTCACAGACCACGGGACAGACCAACGCGCGAAACGCCCGCCCTTGATCATCCATCCAGCTGGAGTAAACTAACCATTTGACTCACTCGCCATCCCGAACATCAGCCCATTCTCTCCACTCAGCCCAAATCCGCGAAAGACGGAGTCAATCCAGCAACCATCCCGGGAACTAGGTTAGTACTATAGCTGGGCTAAGAAACCCCGATTCGATCGCCGATGCCAACCCTGGAACAACAAGCATAGACTAAATCACCGTGGACCTAAGTTAGCACAGCAACTTTAGTCCCCGGACATGTCCGTATCTCCCACGAACAACAAAAGAAGAACAAAGCAAACCCGGCACAAGCACTACTACTGAGTACTAGTCATGGACAGCCAGCAGAAGCCCAAAGTCTAACGAGTCATGTCCCCCCGGACCAGGTGTCGATCCTTGTCCATACATCCAAGTAGTACAGTAGAGATATGTGTATACAGCCGCATCGCGGCTATTCCACCAGACCATGTTTTCCAGAATTTGGAGTAGAGGTTGGATACACATCCACATCTATCAATGGATGCGATAGTAGCCTTGTTTGCTTTTTCTTTTTCTTTTTCTTTCCCAGTATAGGGACTGTGTGCGGCTAAGAATAGCCACAGAAAACAAAAAAGGTGGCGTTTTTTGATCTGCGGGTTGATTTTAGGTTTTCCTTTGGGGAAATGGATTTGAATTCTGGTTGATACTTGGGGAGAACATTGATAGTAACATATGTGGCTGGTAGTTCTTTTGGTGGTTTGGGATGGATGGAAGTTGGAAGAAATGATGCTGTGCCTCTTTTTCTTTCTCTCTCTTCAGCTTGCTTCGTAGGGCTTTGGATACGATACGATACTAAACATAGATGGATGTTGGGATTTGGTGGGAGGATATCACGGGGTATGGCAGTAGAGGCATGCGCATCGTAAGGCTGGTGTCGTGAGGTGGTGAGGGAGGCACAGATCGCGAGGTCATAATTATAATTATCTCCGGGAAATCAATGCTGGTGCAGCGGCGGTCGTACTGCAGGGCCAGGCAGGGAAGGGTCGGACCCAAGATGTCAGATAGAGAAAGCGATGCAAACAAATTAGGCTAAGCATAAGCGTACTGCGTCCTCGTGGTCGAGTCAAGCTAGTGGTGGGTGTTGGCGGTGGCTTGGGGCTGGCGGCGGTTAACTATTGGCGATGAGGGGCTGCTGCTTGCTGCGGCATTGCTGTACTGCACCCGTGTACTGTACGTATCAACTCGTGGCCGCTTCCGAGGCTGGAGATCGGCAACCGTTGCGAAGAAGAAAATGACTGCGCCAAAGTCTATTTTAAATTGTTCTGGTTTGTGTCACGCTTGGCTTACTATATCTTTTCTTTGTTCTTCATTTAATGACGGGTAAGAAGGGGATAGTCGAGAGAAACACGCCCATTGGTCCATTCGTATACTGATCGTCTTGTGGATAGATGAGTTACACGATCTTCGGAATGGTCATCCCTGGCGGGTTAAAATAGATTGTAACTGTACATACATCGTGTCATACCGTCAGGGTTCGATATTTATCGTTTTTGATATCTCATTTCGTACGCATTCGGTCCCAGGGTATAGGTATATCAAGATGAACAAAGAAAAAACCAATAAAAAGGGGTGTGACAAATTCAAAAAAAGAAACGCTACCATGCAAATCGTCGAACGTAGTCCAGCCCGGCGTATCATTAGCCCAAAGGAATTAACAAAAGTCAAAGAAAAAAAGCTCCAACCAAACCATAATGCGCCTCAACATGCTTCTGGAACCCATCGATGCATTCATGACAAAAATAATCATTTTCTGGTCTCACCGGCCAGGCTCTGAGAGGATGAACGAGGCCAGACGCGTCGCCGTGTCTGCGAAGGCTCAGATATTCGTGGCCGCGCAACCAGACCACTCCGATCCCGGTTCTGCGCATCAAGATACCGCAGCTGCGCTTCACACTGCTGTGGAGTGTACTGCCCGGCACCCAGCTCCCTCATCTGGGATCAGAGAGATATAGTCAGCACCTCGTAAAAAAATAAAAGTTTTAGCTGTTGGACCTAATGCTCCTTACCTTTTGTGCAATCACATTATACTTCTCGTGCTCCCAATAATCCCGAGCCCGGATGAGTAGGCGGATCTGAATGACTTCGCCGTTAATGATTAGTTGGCATTTGAGGACTGCTGACGGAGCACGTACTCACATCGGTCTCATCCCACCGCGCCAGGCGCTCCTTGCGCCGCCGCAGCATGCGCATCTGCAGCCGCGCCTCGGATGCATCCTTATGGAACTTCTCCCGGAACATCTCGCGGATGACCTTCCATGCGAGGTTCTGTTCCCGTAGTCGTTCCACGAATGCGTCTTCCTCCTCCGCCTGCGGGTCTCTACGCCCTCGTCCTGGGGCTCGAGGCCGCTGTTGCTGCTGGGCATCAGCGGCCCCCTGTCTTCGCTCCTGTTCCAGTCGCTGGAGACCCTCGGGGTTGGGAAGTATCGTAACGGGAGCCTCCCGCGGCGTGGCTGCCTGCTTGGGCCCTCGTCTGGCCCTCTTTGCGGGCGGGGGCCGGGGCGAGTGATCCACCTCGCCGAGGCCATATTCGAGCTGATCGATGGTATGTCCGAGGCCCGCGGTCACAGTGCGAGGGAAGTTGCTCGGAAATGGAGCCGTGATACCTAGTCCTTGCGATGGAACGGTATCACTGAGATTGTAGTGGAACTCTTGCGAATGATGACTGAGTACCGGACTCGGTCGAAAAGAGCTGTCGGGGAGGCTGATAGGGGTGAGGATGGAGCCGGTGGGGAAGGCTGTAGTTGTAGTATACGGATGGTTGATCCCTCCGTAAGGCGACTGCATCGACTCCGAGCTGGTCAGCTTCAAGTGGTCCGTCTGCGGAGATTGGTTGACTATGCAACATACAGCTTCCAATCCGGTCCACTGCGGCTGCATCACTGCGTAGAGGTCCTCAATCCCCTCCCCGGGGTTGACACCACTATGACTGAAGGTTATCGGCCCCGAGTAACCAATTGGGGTTTGTGGATACATGCTGGAAGCCAGTTGAGGCTCTTCGTGATTGAAGGACGGAATGGTGAATGCGTGTACTGAAACGGTGATTGAAACAGGGAAGGAAGGTTATGTGACTAGCTGGGGAGCGGTGGCAAGGTCCAACAAGATAAATAGGCAGTCAGGCCGCCAATAGCAATGACAAAGATGATCCGAGGCTAATCCACACCTCTCTCGATGGGGAAGAATATAGTATAAGAAATTGTAGTGCTCTGGTTGAAAGTGGAGAAGGTATGAAAGGGCGTATCGATGACAGAGTCTTCGCGTGTTCATATATTGAAAAATAAATAAAATAAATAAATAAAGGAATGTGAAAGAAAGTCGCCTCGCGAGGCAGGGCCAGAAGCTTGAAGCTTTTTTCAATGTCTATCAACGGACTCAACGAGCTTGGATGACCATAGTAAGTACCGCCCACTATTGCTGTGCCGCACAAAATTGTTCCTGGCGGGAGGTGTAAGGTCGACGATGGGCCTGCCTTTAAGCGCTTGATCATTTCTGATAGAACAGAGCCATGCTCTGAAAGGGGAGAAAATGGAAAGGATAATCTCTCATGGCTGCTCACGACATGAGAACGGAGACAATCCAGCCCCCAAAACCCCTCGGGGGCTCAGACTTGCATCCCCAGGCCCACCCACCGTTACTCAAGAGCAAGGCAGCATCTACTGCGATCTTAGTGCCGATGTCCTGGATCTCCAGGTTAGGGATCGTGAATTATATCAGTCTAAACGAGCGCGGATTGACGTTTGCAAAGCCGCTTAATCGCCATATCAAAGGGTAGCCCATAGGTTAGCGCTTGAGCTGACCAGCACATAGATGGGGACACCGCTATCGATGCAGTACTGTCCCAAAAGAGCATATAGGAATAGGGGATTTCAAATATTGACTTGTTCTCTAAACCCAAGATGGACATTGAGAAAGTATGCGAGAGAGGGAGAAGCCATTATTGTCATATTGTCAAAGGGTCGACTGGCAGATGAACGCATCGCAGCTCCTGTAGCGGCTACGAAATGTGGAGAGCGAGGTAGACCGGACGAATTGAGAGGCTGCTAAACGTAGCCCCAACGACCGAAAGTCATCAGCCAGGATCCTCGTGCTTGCCTAGTAGACGCAGCTAAATCCTGTTCGGAAAGCTCTGGGATATTACGGCCAAGCGAAATCAGAAGGAAGAAAATACCATCAAGGAACAGAGTCAAAACTCACTCCTTTGGGGGAGGAAGAGAGGGAAGGGAGCCCAGGAGGGGGGCAGGGATCCTACGGGCAGGGTTAGCCATTAAGCGCTTCGTCGTGATTGCGGCTGTAAATCCTGGTGGATCAAAATGGGTCGGAACTAAACCCAGGCTGGCCAGGCTTGTCATACCCAGGCATGCTTCTGCAATCTTCGACTTCGCCCTACGGCCAGCTTGTTAAGGGAAACGTGGAAAGAAAATAAAAATGAGAAAAAGTAAGAGAAAAAGCTGACCACCAAGTCGGTCTCGCTGCCGGCCCTGAAATCAACGGATTGGAAAGTTTGTTCTGAAGCATGGCCTCTTTTCATTTCTTTTCTTGTTCTCTTATACGCATCCATCCGGCCTCGTCGAGACACGACTGTTTTGGAGGGGAGTATCATCCAGAAATTAAGGCTCAAGACGTGAACGTTCGCATACTCAATTCGAGCGGCTGTCTGCATCCCACCTAAGCCACGTGTCTTAGGGAAAACGGGCGATTACGCGCCAGAAGCGAAGGGGATAGCCTCCTCGGGATATTGCTGTCGGGGTATCTGGTCCATCGTCGTCCATCGTCGACATCAAGCCGTTCGTTCGGCGCGGATCCCGCACTGGGGATGTAAAAGAGGTACTGTATGTACAGTACTGTATCTGGCAAACTAGGGAAGCCATCATTCTTCTGGAAAGATGCACGGCAATCTCGTCCCGTCAATATCCCGGGTGTGTTTCCTGGCGCCCTTGCATTTGGCCCTATGGACGGGTTGTGTCCGGTGTATCATGATTGCAACCATCGCATGGATCGCACAAGTCGCCATGTGGTCAAGGGAAGATCGTCGCTCTGCCTGTCAACCGATCGGAGACCCCGTGATGCACACGTGATGTCACGGACTCCCCCATAGCTTTCCCTTTTCAAGCGTAGTGTTTTATTCAAGTACTTCATCATTTCCGCTTCAAGGATGAACGGCTATGTCCGCTAAAGACTCAAGAGGATTCTATTTTTGCTCCATAGGGATCTGACGGAAAAGGTTTACCCCCATCATGATGATGACAGGCCACATCCCGGCTATGCCGAGTAATGCAAGGTTGTTCCCTAGGCGTTTTTTGCCCTCCAAACCAAAAGGGAAGAAAAACAAATCGGCCCCCCCTCCATAGTCTCTGGTTGCGCTGTCCACACGTAATACCCCTTTGGCAACTTTGTAACACTTTTCGCCCATTTGCTGCATCGATGCACAGATCCTCAAACACCTAGCCGTGGCTATGGCCAGGCGCAGCAATGTGCGCGGAGATCAAGTCTGAAACATTGGGTCCGTCTGTTAAAACCTGTTTCATCCCCATGTCGAAGCCCGTCTCGGATGACTTCATCCCAATCCTGCAATAGCATACAGCCATGCTGCGAACATTCGAATGCGAATCCTGAGACTGTTCTAGTCCTAACATGGTATAGATGATCGGTCGTCACTACTGCGCTTTCTAGAAGGATTTGGAATCACGGAAATTAGTTGACATGAAAGAGACACTAGAGATGATCATTTAGCTTTGAAGGTAGGATGACATGCAATCAGAGCCGAGAATCGAAGTTTGCACCCAAGAGACAGTAAGCAGAGACGTAGATCTGCACCAGAAAAATCTATATATGGCCCAAAAAAAGAACAAGCTATTCAGAGTCCGCTCCCAGTGGCCCCAGAAGAGGCCTTGTTCGCTTGGTATGCCGGAACGTCATCTTCCTCATCATCCGAGAACCCTTCTAGGCTGTTATCATGGCTCGAGCCATGAGTTCGAGGCCGTTGATCCTCCAATGTGTCATCGGCGGAGACCGAGATCCCTCTTGCGCCCCATCGGTTGTTCTTTGGCCTTTCCCCGTTGACCCTCTCTTCTTCAAAATCGTCATCATTCAGACTCTGCTCCTCATCCGCCACCCTGCGTTGTCTGAAATTGAGCACCTTGCTCACAAGCCAGCTGTGGCGGAAGTCGTCCGAGTCAACCACACCTCCGTTGCGAAGCTTCACACGCTGGCGAGAGTAGTAGACCCAAGCGAAGTCGATATAGAAAGCGGTCTGAACAAGCCCGAAGATGTCGGCAATCGGCTCCCAATAGCCCTCGGCGCCCAGTCCGCGTACAAGCCAGTTCAGGATGTAGAATGCTCGGTATGATCCCAGCATAAGCAGGTAGTACGAGTCGATGACAGTCGGGACGGTGGTCTGGCGCAAGAGGAGCAATTGGGGCAGGACACACACAGATTCGAGGATGATTGAGAAAGCCCAGCATGTCTACTCATTGCAAGACACATTCTGTCAGTACGGTGACAAGCAGATAGGAAGTCCATGATTCAGCTTACCTCAGTGAACCACCGACCAGATTTGTACTCCTTGAATATGGCAAGGGAGATAGGAGCCAGGACAAGCGCTAGACCAACAGAGATCAAGCCCATTTTCCATGCTCTCTCCTTCTCCCGTGTGCGGGGGAAGACTTTCATCATCAAGAAAATAACGTAGAATGACGTTAAAGTATAGAAGATCTTGAAGAAGACAAGATAGAAAGATCCCCAGGCCTCTTTTCGAAAGAGGTCGAGGTATCGAGTGACGAAGACCAAGGCATAGAGCATCTGAGTAAGGAGCGAAACACCTGCATTGTAGCACAATTTGTTAGCATCATGAACAGTCAAGCCTCGTATTACAGTGTACTTACCTTCAGCGCTCTTGTTCCGATGTATGGCCCATATCAGGACGCATTTCGACCCGAGGTGGGAGAAGTCGCCCAGGGCGCGGAACAAGTTCATGTTGATATTCACCATGGTTGCTTTTGTATATAAGAGCTGGCCAGTAGGTTTAGGTGTTCAGCTTCGCAGTCTAGGATACCTCAGGAGCCTCAACTGTTACCGTTGAGGCTATCAAGCAGGTCACCGAAAGACAGTGTGACTAACTGTGGACCGTGCTTCGTTTATCAGCAAGGCGCGGTCGGGGGTATATGGGTTGTCGTCCCGGATTGTGTTGGAGATATGGGAGAGGTGCACCAGGCAGCCTGATTATAATAAGAGGACGGATGCAACAGGACAAGTGGGCTATATATAGCTTGAAACAATAGTGATGGTAAAAGTGGTGGTTGTGAGCTCAACGACGGTTCAGTCTTATCTGGTCTCAACGAAGGGGGAAGCTCCGTTCACCGTCACAGCGGGATCCACCTCAAGGCGCAAGAAGCTGGGGATGTTCCCGTGGCCGCGTGTCCAGCACGTGATCGATCAGCTACCTGTCCGGCGGATGACGTCAGCATTTACCTTTCCCTCCAGTATAGCTTCACAATTATCAGTTTATGCTCTTGTCCATGTTAGAAGGCGATCAGGAGGCATAGATGCTGGATAAGGGAGACACACAGCTCCTATATGTATGCTTCGTGCTATTGTTCATGAATCTCCCAATACCCTCTCTTAGTCGGCTCCTGCTGCTCTAATTGTTTGTGTCAATTGAATCGACGTATCATCAAGTCTTGTCACCGCTCTTCTGAGATCGCCTCCCAAGGCATGCGAGACATACCACTAGCTCCCTTTTAGGCTAGTTGGGCATTGTGGGCGATCGACCCAAGATATGCTTACAAGCTTTGAATCGATAAACAATCGCCAAGACTTGTTGACAGCCAATCCAAAGATGTATGGTTCTATCATGGAGCTCGCTGGTTTCAAATATTGAATGGGATGAGCTTCAAAGATCCACACAGGTATATCTCTATTGGTATAAAATGTATCCTTATGCTGTGAGTCTAAGGAGTCTTATCTACTTGGAGAAACCTGCAGGTATTAGCAACTTTCACGGATTCAAATGCGAGTCCGTTCTATACGAATTGTGCAATAGTAGCTTCTGTTTTCGACACGTGATACCATTCGTTCAGTTTATGCTGAGAAGTTCATGGAGAACTAAGAGGAGCTAGATCGAATTAGAGACTCGACATGTACATGTATTATGTAGCTAATGCTCAGCCACCAGCACATGTGCGCGGGATATAAACCACAGACGCATAGAAGGCTTAGTGCTCCAATAGAGATAGCTTTTTGAACTGAACTTAGATGAGCTTTCTCCTCGAAAACTGAATTCGACGTACGTGGGTAACCTCGATGTCTAGGAAAGGGATACACACAGTGAGCCCTTGGTCAGAATATCAGGGTCATGCATTTGATATACGGTCCTCCAAGCGAATATGCTGGTTTGTACATGAGACCGAAATGATCAATTCTATTCTGCTCCGATCCATGTCACCTTATTCGATATGTTCTGCACATGCTATCAGCTGTGATGGGAAATCTGTATATGAGCGATAACTTTCGACTAAATAGCGGCGAATCGTTAATATTATTCCTCCCGATGCATGAGCTCTCCAAGAAGCCTAATCATTGTCATTCTGTAGCAATTCATCGCTCTTGATCGTATTCGGCCATTGAGAAACATTTTCTGCACAACGCCTCATCTTATAAGTCCTGCCATGGACGTGATAGCAATAAGTCCAAGCCAACATGTTCGACTGCCAACATCCTCGGTAGGACGATGCTCAATAAGAGCCCGCAGGGGGTCAAATAACGGTTCACGGACCTACTGTAGATCTTTAAAACCCGCCTAGGAGGGAGCCAACTCGGCGGGCGTAGATAAGATGCATACCTTGAAAACCTGGAGAAGCAGCATTGCGGACTCGGGCGGGCACCGGCCTACTTCTTTAACAAGGTGAAGGTCCAGATCGCAGTCCAGATCGCAGCAGCGGCAAATCTTGCATCAGAAATGTCCAGACCATGTCTAGAATACGCGACAGCGAAAAGACCGCCAGGACAAAGATTGGGTGGAAGCAACCGAGAAGGAGGACGGATCATTGGAAACACGGGAGCCCTAGTGGGAGTTCAGGGATTCTTACCCCGCTCCCAGCGTATCCCATCAGGAGCATCTGATTGGAAAGGGGGAGAGGCTGGAGCCCACGTCGACACCAGAATTCACCATCCTTGAGCCTTCGAGATTTGCTTTTTTGGATTATTTTTCTCTGATGTGCCAAGCTCAATGATTGCATACCAAAAATGCTCGTTTCAAGTTGTGGTCTTTCTCACGGTCACCAGATAGTCCAGACCCCGCTCCCTCACTGGCCTTGTCCACCCGCTTGGCCTACCTGGACACTGCAGCGACGCCAGGTTATCCTGGCGAGAACAACCGAGACGGCGGGCTATATGGAACGTATGGAACGTATGTCGCCGCCACCAGCATCATCGCTTCCTGTCTTGTTTGTTGGAAGACAGGATTCGGGGGTGCGGTTTGTGGCTGATGGATGCGCTGGAATTGGACTTCTCGTTCATGGCCGCAACAACCCAAAGTGGTCTGAAGATGATTAACCTTGTGGAATGAGATGCGCGGGATAGAAGGTAGTCAGTTGCTGAGAGAGAACGGAACAAACGGAGAGGAACTCGAAGTAGTATAGGTGCCTTGTGTATGAGTACAAGGATGAGTATGTAGGCGTCAAAGGCCAGACGCACCACCCCTCCTCCCCTCCCATCCTTCCCCCCCACCCCCTCCCCCCTCCCCTCCATAGGTCATAACGGGCGTACTAGGTAGGGTCTCTGCCGCTCAAAATTCATTCGGAAAATCAACCGATCAAAGAGGGGAAATCGCTGCTGGCATTGGGCCTCGGGGTCTGTACTGTATGTACACTTTCTTGTCAAAGCGAAACCATCGATCTAAGACTGGTTGAAAGCGGGACTCGGGATAGGAGGGGAATTACTTCTTTGGGCATGATGATACCATGCAATGGTGTGCAGAAACCATCTCCTGTCCGTCTTCTGGGTGAACTATCAATTGCTAGGTAGACAGCAAGTGAGTGAGTGAGTGAGTAGGGGAGTAATCATTGACTTTATCCACGCCTGCTTAGGAGAAGAAAAAGCAAACACGAGTCGGAGCTCGCGGGATTGGTGAAATGGAAGCTGCTTGGCCATGGAGTGGATTCGGATCTCCCCTCAGCAGTAGTCAGTCTTGTCTTGTCTTGTCAGTCTGTCTGTCAGTGTCAGTCTGTCACTGGCCCGTTCATTCGTCTTCTTTCGCCTTGCACTTTCGCTGTTGCTGGTCTTTCTCCTGCACCTTCTTTTTCTTACCATTCCTTTTCTCTTTGCAGGTTCGTCTCGTTTCTATTTTTCTTCTTTTAGCTCACGGCGAGGAAAACAAATCCTCCCTCTCTTCTTTCCAACTCCCTCTCTCCTCACCCGAATGTTTCCTTAGTATACCTTACCTTCCAATCCGCGTACCGGCACTCCTCCCTCCTGCAAACCGCTAAATGTAAAGGCATGTATGTATCTTTGACCTCTAATCGACTCGATCTTGTCTACTGATTTACTTGCTGATCATCTCTTCTACACCAACGATCAGAACGACGACGATCATCCAGACTACTGACTACTGACTACCTTTCCCTAGCTACTGTCAACCGGCCCAGTATTCCGATTGATTGTCTACCCACATCTACTACTAGACTACTCTCACTATCCTCCTCACTACTTCTTACTTGTCTACCTGCCTACTACTACGACTCTCCTGACAGGCCTCATTCCGATCCGTCACTTAGTCGACTTCCAAGCAACGGGACTGCTACTTCGTGTCTACCTGTTAGAAAAACCTCAGAGTTCTCGAATCATGAACTTCGACCAGTAAGCCTTTCTTTGCACTCTGTGTTGGTCTCCATCTCCACCTGTCCTGACCAGAATGTCTTATCATCGCAACTCCAGTATTCCTCCGTACTATTTCCAGCCTATGTATCCTAAGATGCTCGAGAGGTCTACTTGTGATTGTGCCTAAACCTGTTTATATTTGTTTTCTTTTTGCCCTTTACTTGCCCGGTCCCCCCTCATTCCCTCCTTCTAGTTTTCACCTCCCCTTTCTTTCTTTTCTTCTCTTCTCGTGTTGCTCTCCTTCTTACTCAGATTCGTGCGCCATCTCCAGGTCCCTCGCTGCCGACCACTTCCACACATGCATGTAACATTTTTGTCGACTCTCCCCTTCACTCCTGACGTCCAGCCTCCCTTCCTGCGGCGCTACTACCATGCCGTATGATGCACTGGTTTCATCGTCACTTTGGTGTAACCAGGCGCTCGCTTCCCTAGACTTGACAGGACGATCTACACGGAGCGTTCCTTGAATAGCAGATTTGCTAATCTCCTAAGCGTGTGAACTTACAGATGAATCAACGGAGCGTGATTGGGAGAACTGCATATCCTCAACCATGTCGTAAGTCACCCCTCGTCCTCCCAAGCTCCAGCAAAGTTAGTCTTAGGGCTGCGAAAAAGCTCCAGGGTTCTCTCTGTCCATATATACCTTCGATGAACCACTCCCCAACCCTGGTCATGTGCTTTTCATTCTTGCCTTATGTTTTTGTTTTGCTTATTCACCTGGGGCCTTTGCCTGTCCTTGTCTGCTGATTCACAAATTGACCGTCATTTTCTTTTGTATTATTGGAGTCGTTTTCATTTCTTGTTTTTTTTTTTTTATTATTGCTCAGATTATCCTGACCATTACTTTCATCATCCTCATTCGGCTTCTTATCTACTTCAGCCCTGTATCCTCGCTTCTTGCGACTTCCGCGTATTTATTTCTTATTTCCTTTTTTCCCTTTCATGTATTAGTCACGTCTCTGACACTGACGCCTTCGGGCTCTTCTATGACAATAGGTCTCCTCCAACATCGAAACGAATTAAGACCTCCGTCCCCGCCAACGCACCATCCCATCTGTTAGCTCCGCAACAAGTCAATCCCTACTCACGAGTGCCTTCATACGAGGGCATTCCTATGCCCCAAACTCAGATTCCTCCGCCGAACCCGCGCAAACGCCGTGCTTCGCCCCAAGCAGGCACCACCGCGGCCATGCCAGCTTCAGGCGCGACCGGAGCCGGAGGCGAGCCCGGGCATGAACAGGGGTCTGGAGTACCAGAGCCTACACCGAAGAAAAAAGGAAGGACCAATACTCCCTGGACTGCAGAAGAGGAACAGCGGTTGAAGACTATGCGCGATGCTGGACGCAGCTGGAGCGAAATTGCCAAGGTGCACCAATCGGTTCTGTACCACGTTGAAGCGTGCTAACCTGGTTGCTCTCGGGCTTCGCAGACTTTCCCCACTCGGACCGAGGGAAGTGTCAAGAAGCATTGGTATAAGGTAGGGATCCACCTGAAGCTCGCTCTAGGTCAGAACAAGTTCCTGAACAATGTGGCAGGACATGCACTACGCTGAATTTGCGGAAGATGAGGTAAGAACATACGACCTCCGTCTTAGCGCTGAATCGGTACTAACATAATGACTTATAGTCTGTAGCGCTTCGCGATGCGATCAAAGAATACGAGGCGAACAAGTGGAAAGTAATCGGGCAGAAAGTTGGGAAGCCAGCCAAGGCGAGTTCTCAAAGTGACCAACCCCAGCACAACCGACTGACATATCCCAATATAGGCCTGTGAACAGTATGCGAAAGAACATTTCAAGGACCTCTAGAGTTTACGAAAGATGACGACGTGATGACTATCTGCATATTCTTGCCCACTGGTCGATCCAAGGCATGAGATATGACTTAAGCTGATCTGAGCCAGTGTTTTCATATTCACAATGCTTTCTCTTCATAGTATGCAAAGCTCTTGGCGAAGGGTTGCCGGCGTTAGGTTGTGTTTGTTCATTTCTTAATGTTTATGTGTCAGTCCTCCATCCTCTCACATTCTCGCGTTCCTTTGCGGCTTCAGTTGTTTCCGGGGCTGTCGTTTCCATTTCTGATGATACACATTGCTGGTGAATTTGACTCCCTGTCGCGTATGTCCTCGGCTACTCTAAATAGACTTCTTTATGGGTCTGGAAATTCAGGTAGCGGGCAAGAGTCACATAGTAGACGAAGAGAACGATGTAGATGTGCCTGCATTTGGAAGCTCTGCAGAGCAACCTGCAGGTCGCTAGCGAACAAGAATGTAGGTTGCAGACAAACAGCTTACCACCTTGGCAGGATGTGATTGGAGCAATACTCATGAAGAGTCGACGATCTAGATCTTACAGGCCGGTGAGGAGATTGCCGCATAATATGCACTGGTATTCGTAGTATAGTGTACGTACTTAGCGGTAGACGGAGCGGCGTACTACTAGGTCACTAAATAGTATAACGCACGGGTAGGAAATTTCATCCGAAATCGGGGGGGGCGGCGGCGGCGGGCAACCTTTGAACCAAGTCCGCGGCGAATCCGCGGCTATGAGGAGACTATGACTCGACCCAGACCCCGCCGCCGCCGTTAAAATCTATCTGGGGGGTTTTTACTGTACCCGCTCCACCTTTTCGCTCACACTACATTGCAGTCATTGAGACAACACCGGGGTCATTCCTCTCTCTTGCCCTCACACTCTCGGGTTTTTTTCGCCTTCTATTACAAGCCATTTCCAGCGTGCATTGCGCACTTGTCAGTGTTAAGTGCTCAGGTTAGTAGAGGAATCGTCCATTGCATTCACCCAAGTCGCTTTTCCTTTGGCTGCCTACTCCCCCACACAAAATAATGGTTTGCCACAAAACCCTGTTGAAATCAGTATGACTGACGCACGACTGAGATCGTGTTATACTAGGTCTGGTCGCCACAGTCTTCCCCCCATCGCAATCACAACGTCCCCGCACATACAGGCCTCCCGTCTTCTCGCAGAACCATATGCAAGGGACGGCTATCATGAAGACGAGTAGCGTGGTTTTGTCTGTCGATCAAGGTATCTAAGTAATCTGCCTGCATGAAGACCGGTGTTCGACAACTGTACGTTACACAGACTATCTGGGGCGCTCTCTCTCTCTGTCGGTGTGGGGAAAGGGTACTCCGTCTACTAGCGAGCGAGGGCCCCAGAAAGGTGTGATCAACTACGTTGTTCGTTCTGAGATTATACGGTTGAACTTGATCTGGATAATTCCAGCGAAAGGACTCATGCGCGCTTCTCGCTATTCTCAATCCCGCTTCTTTGAACAGGTTTGTACTGACCAACCACAACAGCATGTCTCCCGAACAACCAGTCGCCGCCATGAGGCGTTCCTCTGAAAAGGACATCGCCAATGTCCACTCAGGCTATGATACATCTCGTCCTATGAACAATGGCGACGAAAATACTAGTAGGACGGCGCGTGCGCCGACACGCTTGACCTCCTATATCAGGAAATTCGAGCAGCAATTGGTCGAGTACAACTTCGAGGCTCGCGGTATCGAACGGGTGCCGGAGAATGAGCGGATGACCAAGTTGACCTGGGTTGCGTACCTGCAATCGTTTCTGCTCTGGGTCTCTATCAATCTGGCAGCCAACAATATCACACTCGGCATGCTGGGCCCTGCTACCTATGGTCTGAGCTTCCGCGATACGGCGCTTTGCGCCGTTTTCGGAGCTTTGCTTGGTAGCATCCCCGCGGCATGGATGGCTACTCGAGGTCCAGTATCTGGTATTCGGACTATGGTGAGTCAAAGATGAAGCATTTGCTTAGGTGTCGCGCTAATCTCTACGTCCCCAGGCATTCGGACGCTACTCTATGGGTTGGTGGCCTAGCAAGCTGATAGTCATATTGAATCTGATTCAAATGCTTGGTTACTGTCTGATTGACTCGGTGGTGGGCGGCCAAATCTTATCTGCTGTGTCGCCACGTGGAAATATGTCGGTGGCTGTGGGTACGTTGTCCCATCTGTCAGTCGCTTGAAGTAAATATACTGACAATCGGGAAGGTATTGTGATTATCGCTATCATCACCTGGGTTATTGCTACGTTTGGCATTCAAGTCTTTCATACTTACGAACGGTGCGCTACGATTTCCTTTGCTTTATTCGAACCGGTGCTGACTTGCTTTTAGCTTTGCGTTTCTCCCTCAGCTCGTGGTGGTCTCCATATTGTTTGGCGTGTCCGCCAAACACTTCGACCTTTCGGCCTCGTCCACCGGGGATGCTCGCACAATTGCTGGAAACAGGTAACCTCTTTGACGCTTGGTTTTTTTGTGCAATGTTGACCATCCGGAATTTAGATTGTCGTTCTTTTCCCTGTGTGTTAGTTCAGCTATAACCTACACGCCACTTGCAGCGGACTTTTTCGTCTACTACCCCCAGAATACATCTAAATGGGCCCTTTCCTCCCTCTCTCTGGCAGGGCTGACATGTTCGTTCACCATGGCGATTATCTGCGGTGCTGGCCTCGGATCAGGTGTCGCCAACTATGCGAAATATAGCGAAGCATATTCCGTCGGTGCGGGAGCCCTCATTGTCGAAGGCTTCAGTCCGCTGGGTGGGTTCGGCAAATTCTGCTCAGTAGTTGTCGCGCTGGGTTTGATCGCCAACACCGTGGCTCCTTCCTACTCAGCTGGAGTTGACTTCCAGATTCTCGGACGGTATGCGGAAAAGGTTCCCCGAGTGCTCTGGAACACCTTCGGGGCGGTGATCTTTACTGTATGCGCCTTGGCCGGTCGGAGCAACCTTTCTGATATCTTCACCAACTTCCTGGCTCTTATGGGCTATTGGGTGGTCATGTGGGTGGTCATTATTCTGGAAGAACAATTCATCTTCCGGTTCCGTAGCGGGTACAATTGGTACGCTTGGAACGATCCGTCTAAGCTGCCCGTTGGTATCGCCGCTTTGATCGCCTTCCTGGTTGGCTGGGCCGGTGCGGTTCTGTGCATGGCGCAGGTGTGGTATATCGGACCCATCGCGCGCTTGGTGGGCGAGTATGGTGCTGACGTAAGTTGCAATCGAGTTTTGCTTGTTGTGTTTTGCTCACTGACGTGCGAAATAGATGGGTCTATATGTCGCATTCTCGTGGACGGGCCTGGTGTATCCTCCTCTTCGGTACTTCGAGCGGCGTTACTTCGGTCGGTGAGCATGATGAAATACTGGCATACCGCATCGTCTCTGCGAGGGCTGAGTGAGAGCTGGGTTGGAGTGTATATGGTTTGGGTGCGAGTCAGGTTAGTCGAAGGGGTCGGCGGGGTGAATAAGACGAGCCATAAAAGTTATATTTTATTGTATAATATGATGGTTGTCATAATAGGCGTGGTTATTGAGGGGCACGGACTTTATTGTCTTTTTGAACTATAGCAAATAGCTAATATTGCTCATTCGAGCACCTAATATTGATTGCATTGTTATAAGAAACCACTATTCCGGATCGAGATGCCCAAGACATTGAAGCTGGAAGCACAGAGTACAGTACGTAGCATTGCAGAGCCGCATGATATGACAATTCCAACAAGTGCAACCCGAAGCACCAAAACCCCGCCAAAGCACATCGCATATTCCTGAACAACCTCATACCGATTCATGTACCCAATGACCTTCCCAGATCTGAATCACCCCCTCGGCCGACGATACGAGTCCAAGCTCAGGATTGTGGGTGTGCGGCTGACCAATCCATTATCAAGCAAGCTAAGGCCTATATGTACAGTACTTTGTTAAAGGTCAGCGTCAATCATAGCAACACCGAACAATCTCCAGACTTCTCCGTGTACATCGGAGCAGACTACGGAGACTGGCCAGAGGACGATCACCATCTTCCCTGATGGCGGAATGAACCGCCATCCGCCCATCCCATCACAATCGGCAGTTCCACCCACCTGCCTGGCCCTGGAAAAAAAACCCCCCCGACGCACCCCCACTCCACGCCAAGCTCAAATGAACCCAAATAAAAACCAGGAATACAAGATACTGATCACCTCACATCAGTTTAGACCAGTCCAGTCAAAGCAGTCCAGACTCTCCAGAGTATGAAATCAATTTTACTTTCACATAGAATGTCATGATCAGGTAGATAGTAGGAGGTAGTTATCTACACTCCAGCCTGAACCACTAAGAAACGAATCAACCCGAATCCCGAGTCTCTTGCCTATTCGGGAAGAGAGCACTCACTTCCCCCGGCCTTCCCTCAGCTCAGCTGCAGGCTGGGCGCAGCTCCCCGCCGTAAGCATCCGGTCCATCCCATGATCCATCCCGGGGCCTCCAATCCAAATTCATTGGATGAGACCTGGCACACTGCACTGCAGGCACTAAGTATATGAGTGTTACTGTACAGAATAGGTAGTCCACCCGAACAATCGGAAGCTATAATATCTCCTGAAGATTGAGAATAAACACCGCACAGCAAAAAAACAACACAACACAACACAACACAGAAGTTAATTCCTGTACTTCAATAGAATAATGCCAGATGAATCGATATAAAACCACAGGCTTGCTTACCACAGGATATCCAGGTACGGTGGCAGGTAGTTATAGTTTTGCTCCCTAGCAAGGGTGCAGTACTTCTAGTCTTCTGACCCCGTGACTGCGACATGTTTCCCGCGAACGGCCGGCCCGCCGGTCCGGGGGACAAGGACAAGGACAAGGGCAAAGGACAGCAGACTACGGAGTACAGGGAACCCAAACCAGGTGAACCGGTAACGTTAGCTGTAATTACTGCACGGGAGAGGGCTGGAGAACATCATGCCATACTCAACCTCCAGGCTTAGGCTCACGTCACATCACCTTCCGCCGCGGGCTTGACCGCCCCGACTCACCTTCTCCCCCCGGTCCCCTCCCAGGCAATTAGCTAGAGTCGGAGTGAGAGGATGGATC